CTGGGAAGCGTTGTTCACGGAATTGGACTGCAGCGAAAAATGATTCCCCCATCATTAATGGAACAGGCCCACGTCATGCTTGGCTGATTAGTTTTGATTTACATTTCGCAAGTCTAGTGTACGGAAGCTTAAAGTGACCTTCCGAGTTTCCGAGTTTCCAAGATAATTATCATGGAAACACGGAATAAATACGGAAGCTTAAAGTGACCTTCCGAGTTTCCGAGTTTCCAAGATAATTATCATGGAAACACGGAATAAAGCACTTATTAAGACGTCTTTCCGAGATAGATTATCTCGGAAAGACGGAATTCCAAGATAATTTACTTTGGAAAGATGGATTTCCAAGATAGCCTATCTTGGAAAGACGGAATTCCAAGATAATTTATCTCGGAAATACGGAATTCCAAGATAATTTATCTTGGAATGTCGGATTTCCATGATAGCTTATCTTGGAAAGACGGAATTCCAAGATAATGTATTTCGGAAAGATGGAATTCCAAGATAATTTATCTTGGAAAGACGGATTTCCATGATAGCTTATCTTGGAAAGACAGAATTCTAAGATAATTTATCTTGGAATTCCGTCTTTCCCAGATAGGCTATCTTGGAAATCCGTCTTTCTAAGATACGTTATCATGGAATTCCATCTTTCCAAGATAATTTATCATGGAATGACGTATCCACAGTGTCGACACGAGGAGAAGGAAAGAGGATGGCGGCTGAGGAAAAAAAAATAAAAATATTAGTGGAGAGAGGGGGGCTAAAGGAAATATACTTCATAACACCAGAGGATGATGTCAAGGAGGTATGTGCTCCCAGGCCTATGATATAGATATCTGGTTATGATTTAGGCATCTCAGATAGGCCTAGGCACTTGTTTAATTGATTAATCAATTATTTGCAGGCAGGCGGAGTGAAGGCTGGTGTAGGCCTTACTTAGGCCCGGGCCCATGCCACCATACTTATAGTATAGTCAAAATTATGCCTACCAGTAGCCTCGTCCCCACAAAGCCCACGCAAATATTCAGGTAGTTTAGGAATGTTACACATTAGAGAGTTTTGCTAGGGAATTTAGGTATTCTACCGATTATTGTATAGGCCTTTTTCACGAATCGGTAGACATCTTAGAAGTGATGGCAAACATTGCGAATCAGCGGTGCGTAACCAACGGAAATAAGATAGGCTTTAGGGCTGATTTTCTGACATCATGTTATTTAAAAAATCAAAACTCCATAACGCGGCGTCGTATCCAAAATTTTTTTCTAGCAAAATGTTCTTAAAAGACTAGTCTACACCACTATATGATTGGAAAAAAAATTGAAAAAATGTTTTTGACCTCAGAAATCAAGATGGAAAAAGAAAAGCCTATCTAAGTAGTGTATTAAAATAGGCAGTGCAGTGGTACTAGTAATACTCTGAATTAGCATTGTTTTAGTTACCATATGAGAGTTTCCTGTGTTAAAAACATGATTTACTATTATACTATACTTCTTTATAAAACATAACTTGTACTTTGAAATAAGAGAAATCTGTATATAATATCAGTACCTGGAACAGTAACAACACGAAAGTGCTATGCTACTGCACTGTAATGCATACGCCTATTGTGCAGGTTAGGCAATAGGCATTTTTCCATGATTCGGTAGAAGTTGAACACCGAGGTCAGTGGTGCGTACCAAAATAAGATATGTTTTTAGGTTTTGAGGCTAAAATCTTGACCTGATGTTATTTAAAAATTCCAAACTCCTTAACGAAAAGTTGTGTCACATTATTTTTTCTGAAAATATTCCTAAAAGACTATCTGCACCACTACATTACAAATAAGTAATAACAAATGTATGCATTAGTAATAACCAGTAACAAATTCAACAATATATTTGAAAAATGTTTACTCACGATTGTATTTTTTGTTAAATGCATGACATATTTGTGTTTAATAAACCAAAAATAATTGCATTGTTTTACTTAATTTACCATAGAGCATCATAATTTCTGTTTGTTTTACTATATGGGAAATTATTTTTAAAATGGCACCTTTTACATTGTTGACTTAAACTGAATTGAAGCATATTTCAGAACAACCATTTACTGTATTCTGAAATATTTGAAACAAATTGAGCTCCAAGAAAATCAATTACGACAAAAGGTTTGGCCAGTAACCATTTTTCATACTTCTTTAGATAAGTTTAATGTATAGTGTAGCCCACTAAGTCTGAGATCATACTCAGATCAATGTGTTATTTAAAATTCTAGAAATATAATTTCATTGTGAGAATAAAATAGAATTTAATTAAGATATGTAGATACTGTATAAGTCTAGCCCATAGGTAATAGTAGGGTTTTTTTTGTGTTAATCTTTCTTTTTGAAACAAATAATTAGAAAATAATTGAAATAATTTCATGTTCCTTGATTTTTTTTACATAATTTAACATATTAAGATTTTTAAAATACCCAAAATATATTAAATTTTAGATTTTGGAAAAAATCATAATTCATTTCCAAATTTGGAGTCATTATTTTTAAAATTGCAGATAATATGGTACTTTAACAAATACAACCAAATAGATCAGTTTGTTGTATTATGTATTGCATAGTACATTTTGTAATAATAATACAACCTTGTAAATCAGTTAATTAGACTGTATTTAACAGTTAAACAATAATATAATTAAAAAATACTATCTAATAATAAGATTTGTAATTATTAGTATCATTTATTCTTTAAAAATACAACCAATATATTGGTATTATTAATATTAGATTGTATTACTTAATTAAATACAACCTAACCAGATTGTATTTATTCAAGTAAATGTTAATACTGTGTACTTAAAGAAATACAACAAATGGAAATGGAAATGATGATGCCTTATGGTAAATTTATTGGAAAAATAAATATAATATGATAAACAATTAGGCGTAGTTAATACAATGAAGAAATTACTGATATTTTACTAATTATACTGTCAACATCAGTAATTACATATGAGTCGGATTAACTGGGTGTGTGATAGCTCCTGTTTGTCTTAATCATCACCCCCATTCTGAAAGGGATTATTCCTTTTTTAATTGATTTTCTTCCTATTGGCATTATTTCATACACCATGAAAAAGTCAGCGTGATTTAGAATGCTAAGAAAACAGAACCCAGTCAGAATAATAGTCATTTTTTTTAAATAGAAGTTTAATTATATATAAAAATTGACTTTTTTCCTGTTTTACCTTTTTGTAGGCAAATACATTGTATTGCAGTAGCACGCAATGTATGTTTTGTGATATAATAGAAGGACTAGCTAGCTTCTTATATACTTTTTAGTTTCCAATTTAGGCACTGAGTGTTAGCATAAAATAATGAAAAATTAAGGGGAAATATAATTGTGGGGTGGGGTTTTATTTTATGTCCCATGTTGGAATTAAAGGTCGTTTGCTTGGAGACACCAACTTTAATGGTTTTAATAATATTTCCTTTAATTCCCAACTTGTGCTAACAGCCTTTCTTGTCTATTTATAGGTTTTGAAGATTGGAGAAGATGATGTTTTGTTAATATTTGACAGTGACTTCCAACAATATTGTATTTACAATACAGCCACTCAAATAAAGCATCTAGATAAATTTAAAATTAGTAAGCACTTTTATATCATTTTCATGTACATATTTCTAAGTTTACCATGGACAGTGTTAAATATAATTTTGTTTATTCTCTACAGCTAGTTATAAGCAATACAATAGGACACACAATGTTTACTTTTTGAAAGTTTTGTTTCATGTTTCTCTGATACTATACCGACCTGTCTTCTGGTGATATAGGGCTCTACTTTCATGCTGTGGTTTTTTCCATGGATTTTGGACCTCCACACCTAAAAGTTCTGCTTAGTTGAAAACTTGCTCCTATACACAAGCTACGGGTCTGACAGTATTGGGCATAAGCGCTATATTAGGCTAATTACATTGATGAATTTTGTTTTATTCATTCAGAGCAAAGAAATGATATGCCATCTACAAGTGCTGCAAGTACTAGACCAGCTGGTAAGCATATGTCAAACTTCCCTTCCATCTCATGAAAATAGATTATTTATAGATAAAACCAAAACAGTTTTTTTAGAACATCTAACCAATGAAAATTTCGGTCATCAAGAAAGCAAAAATTTTGCAGCCGGGAGCAGAGGGGGCGTATCATAACACAAATCATGTAAAATTTCAAATCTAGAATAAATATTTTTGTAATATAAAAACGGGGTCTATTAATTAGCTTTGCGCAGAAACTAATAAATTAAATAGTCTACAATTCAGTTACACTTTTTGTATTATATAATTCAGTAATTTGGAAAAATAAATATGGTGTAAAAATTTAACAACCACTAAACAATGTCATCAAAACATAATATAATGGTATTGACGATCTAAATAAATAGATGTAACAATATTTTTTAATTATTTTTATGACATTATGACACCAACTTTTATTATTTGATTTTTCATTTCAGGAAAGAGAAGTCTAGAAGAAATACTTTTGAATGTGAAAGGACAATCTTCTGTGAGTTACCATTTTTTAAGTGCATGGCATTAATACTATGTGTTGTCTGGTTGTGTTTCCATAAAATCAAAAAACAAAACAAGTATCAGTGTAACCTAATGAAGGTTATCATGATAATGACATACTGTATGTTTAAAGAGTGAATGAGTTAAATTATTAAGAATTCTTATGAAAAGTAAAAATTGAACAACTATGTCTACAAAAAAAATTTTTTTTGTGTTTTACGAATATAAATAATGCTATAAAAAGCAGTTATGAATAAAAATTGGTGTGTCTGTAGTGCATTAGTTGGGTTTGGAGGAATTGGGGAATTTTGGGGGAGGGTGTTCGCCAGAACATAGGGGGGTTTGCCTGTAACATAAAAGCCTCCTGGCTACCGGGCATGATTAATATTTACATCTCAAAATTTTTTAAAACAGTATGTCAGCTAGTACAAGACAGCAAAATAAGTAATGTGGAAAATAATCCATACTGGTACTTCCAACCATCTTTTCCCCCATGCTCTACAATAAAATTTTTACAAAATTTGTCAAGAAAGCCATGTGTGCCATCTTCATGTGTAAGAGATGTGTATAAACATGAATTTTGTGCTGTTGTCCCTACAGTAAATAAATTATCCCATGAATAGTTCAATATCTTCATATGCTTCACAATCAAAATATAAAATTGGATAAAAAGTAGTTGGTTTTACGTAAATGTTAAAGACAAAGTGCTTAAAAATTTAAAAATTGCTTTTAATTATCTACCTTATTGGCCCTTTTATTTTTATCACAGAACATACATTTGCTATTGCAATGCAATGTATTCCCTTATAAAGAGGTAAAAAAGGGTAAACTAAGTTGATTTTTAAATAAGAGGCGCTCTATATCTAACATTTTTTGGCTTATTTTTGAACTTGTTACCTATTTATACTGGTGAACACATTGTATTGCAATAGCAAATATGTTTTGTGAATAGATGGGCCAACAAGATGCTCAGCATAATAAAAAATGTCAGTTTTTAAATTGTGTAGGCACTGTGTCTTTAATTGTTTTTACACAGACTTTCTATGTTTTGTGCAATCATCATCAGCATTCATGTATTTTTAATAATTTAATTTATACTGGTGCTGAATTGAACAGATTAAAATCAAAGCTTTTATTTAGCAGAGAGGTTATAATTTTTCTTTACAGAAACAAAAACACACTAGCCTAAAAAGAAATGGATGTTGTAGAATAACATTTGGGTGGATGCACCGAATTCATGAAAACACTTCGCACATTGGCGTAAGATATGCCAAAGGAGGGGGAACAAGGTGCCTATCTGTTCAACAAAATGCAACCTACGATGAGTTGACAGAAATTGCAAAAGCTGCATTTCTACCAGAGGGGAAGTCCCCATTTTGTAGGATAGAAGACATCATCATCGACGGCATTGGAACCTTTCAGCAACTTCAGTCGAAAGAGGGATTTTCCTTGCAGGAAATTATAAACCTGCACGGTAACCCGTCGCGCACCAGAATATATTTGTTTTCAACAAAAAAGGTAGTGTAGCCTCTCTTATGGCAGTTTTTCAATGTTTACTTATTATTATTATTTTTTTTTTTTTTTTTTAATTGCTTCACATATCATTCTGTAGTGTAAATTGTAGAGTGAATTTTTATTTGACATGCAGTTAATGAATTGATAATTTAATATACACCACCATATATATACACACTAGTTTATGGTATTTTATATTAAATTAATAATACCAATAGCATATAAACCAGTTTTAAGAGCACTACCATACATCAGATCAACACTGTTGCACTTATTGTAGATACAACAGCTAGTATAATGTCAAGACAAATATTCATGTTCGTGGTCAATTATTTTTCATAAAACTTACTATTCACACAATAAATCTAACACTAGACATCACCAGAATATGAAGAAAGAACATTATAGTTTATTTACTTTGAGAACAGTTTTAATTTCAATCTTCTCTTATCATCTTTGAACATATTAATTAAAATAAAGAGAAACAGGATTGACCCTACATAAAAACAGTAAATTATTGTAATTATAAACAAAGTGATTAAAGATTTTCTTTAAATTTTCTAGATTGTGACAACAACTAGTGAATCACCTCAGTTATCATCTGACCATGATGAAGTGAGTAATGTTTTTTGTGGTCTAATGAATGTTGTCCAGATTTTGTTCACCTATTCTACAGAATATCTGTAGAATTTTTTACAGAATGTTTTGAAAAAAGTTCCACAATTAATCCTCCGGTGGAACCTGTACCCACCATGACCTCCCGTTCACAAGCCTGGTATGATACCTCTAAACAGCGTTCGATTTACCCAGTGTTGCATTGCAAATGCGACACGTTTTAAACTAATTGCGAAGCACTTTCACAAATGCGTCTCAATAAAACTTTAGGCAATTATATTTGTTTTAGGTTTCAAATACTCAATGGTAGTGCATGGTTTTTTTTTTTCGTTCATGGTTTTTTTTTTCGTTCGATCTTCGTTTTTCGCCAACTCCATAGCCATGCGACATTTATCGTGTTGTTAGTAGTATAGCTGCAAACGTCATTGCGTGCTTCGCAATTTGATTTCAAGAGTAGAGTCTAAAGGCAGCCACTCTTCGAGTACATAACGACTTCCTAACTTGGATATTTCCGACACAAGGCCAATATAGGCCTATGTGACGTGGTAGAAATATATCATTATACTGTATAATAATAATTTAATCAATGATCTTGCGTTCGTGTCTAATACGTAAAATACTTAAAATTTTAATAATCGCGTCTTTCGCTTTGATAAACGGTGTACGTACTACTGTAGAGAAGCGGAGGGACAGCAATAGGCTTAAACCAAACATTTCTCTACTTTAAAGCATGAGGTACTCTATATGAGCTGATGGCCTAGATAAAACAAATAACTGGTTAATACATTTTGTATACTTTTAGACAGACAGTCTTGAGTCAGCAAGTTCACTTCCAGATGTCCATCTGGATAGCCCTCAATGTGTTGTAAGTTTCATTGCATGTTTAAAATATTGTTGGTTACAAATGTTATGGCGCAATATTATGTGCTTTTTACATACACAATTATACGCATTTTGCATGTCATTTCTTTTTAGGTATAAACACACAAATCTTGACACCTTTTTATGACAAACAGATTTTCCTATTTTAGTTTTATTCCTAACTTTATTGTTGGGCTTGTCATGAAAGTGCCATAACACAAAACCTGCTCTATGATAGGCTATTACAGCACTGATTCTGTTGTGAAAATGGTACTATATCTTTTGAAAATGAAAATAGTTTATACTGTGATTATATAACAACACAAGGTGCCCCTTAAAATTATTATTTTAAATTTACTTGCGTATTTTGAAGTACCAACAGTTTGTTATCTTGTGCATAGTATGACAAACATTGTATGAAACTCTACACTTGTTGATGGAATTTGCATAAAATACATGTATATTTTCATTATTAGTGCATTTTATATTTATTTCACTTTAAGTATGATATGCTTTGTATTAAATTTGACCTGATGGCCTTGATAAAACAACTGGTTAAAAAAAATGAAATGTATGGTGCCTAAATATTTAAAACAAATACATTTTGTATACTTTTAGACAGAGAGTATTGACTCACTTCCAGATGTCCATGGTAGCCCTCCACGTGTTGTAAGTTTTTTTGCTTGTTTAAAATAATGTTTTTTTCAAATGTTACGGCGCAATATTATGTGCTTTTTACATACACAATTGTACACATTTTATATGTCATTTTTTCTTTAGGTTATACACACGAATTGTGACACATTGTTATGACAAACACATTTTCATACATATATTTGGTATTTGTTATTTTTGTATTGTAATACAGAATGGTTTAGAATTTTCAACGGAAACTATGGAATGGGAAGTGCCTGCAAATTCAGGAACACCAACAGTATGTGATTTTTTTAAGCTTCTTTTATAATCCAAACATTGCAAATTTATAATAACGAAATTCCCTAACTTTTAAGTCATCCCTTTGCTTAGGTATGCTGATGATCTTTAAATTTACCATTACGGTAAATGTATAGATGATTTAATATTTCTTCAGGATGACCTTCATTGATTATGTGACTGGTCGCATAAGTGGGGATTAATTCTTTACCATGGGAAGTGTAAATACTTTCAAGAAAGCCCCATTCTCTCTGATTATTATTTAATAATTTTGTTGTAATTTTTTTTGAGCATTTTTTTTATCAGTGACCTGTCCCATAGATTAAGAACCAAACCCATATTTTTAGCTTCTTTGAGGAGAGTAAATGAACATCAAAACGGATTATTTTGTAGATTAAATAAAGCTTGTAATTCTCTTATAGAAATTGATAATGATTTAGATATTTTTTTCAGATATCCTGCATCAGTACAGGAAGAAAGTTTTAAGTATTTTATAATATTTTTTTTTTCTGTCATGTTTTGTAAACATTTTTATTTACAATTTAGTGTAGGCCTTTGATTATTGTTGTTATTGAGTTTATTGTTGACCCTCCTGTAAGTGGCAAATTTAATTTGCCGTTAATTTGGGTATTGAAATAAAATTTAAAAATTTTTTTTTATTCAATCTCATGAAATGATTTGGAATCATGTGAAAATTTCTGTTGATGGTTTTTAATCATTTTCTGTTTTTTAAAAGCATTTATTTATTGAACCATATTTTAAGAGGGCACCTTTAATTGTCAGCAACTCTCAAACATAAAACAATAACAAAGTGAGCAATACAATTCAATTAAACATGGAATATATAAACTTTAGCTTTTTTTTCTCTCTTTTCAGGTCACATTTAAACTAAATATGAAGTCCTGCCACATATGTTGTGATCGAGACATTAATAGCTTTCTGCTGCCATGTGGACACACTATGTGTCTACCATGTGCCACCCACCTCCAGATCAATCAAGAGGATTGTCCCTTTTGCAAAGAAATTATTCAAAGTGTTAAACCATTATACCAATAAACTTTGATCCTCTGACTATATTGGACAGGTAATACCTACTGAATTCATATTATCCATTTTTTTTTGGCCAGCATTTATTTACGTGTTTACAATCAAACATCTTCTGTTCAACAAACAAAGTGTTCATAATGGCAATCTGGTAATTTTGTATCCGCATATTTTTTTTTTTTTTTTTTTTTTTTAGTCGTGTTTGATATTTTTGGGTAGCTCATCATTGTTAAAAAAATATTTTCATTACTATTAAGTCTCAAACTGAACCATGTAAAATAATATTGGTAGATTTTTAAATTATCTAGAAGCACAAAATGTCTGAATTCATAGAACTATGGAATTCAGTGATCAGTGCAGTCATCATGGAATTAAGTGATCAGTATTCAAATGCAGTATCTTGCTTATGAAATCATACTGTGTTGTTGTTAGATGTGTTTAAAAGCTGTAGCCAAGATTATACTCAAAATGTTAATGTTTTTTTCATAACCCCACAGACTGTAATATGTTTATTCAACCAAATTTGATTTTGTTGTACATGAATTGATGAGTAAAATAATAAAAGGACAGGCTTGCCATATCATAAACATTCATGTACAGTAATTTTGCAGCGTGCTTACAGTTAATGTGTATTTAGTTTGGCCTGGTCATTAATTCAGCTTCTCCCTGGTTAAATGAACCAATTGTTTTTACTAAAAAAAAAAGGGGGGGGGGGAAGACAAAAAAAAAAAATTAACATTTCTTAAATTTTTTTTATAGTTTGTTTAAAAAAAAAACCAGTTGAATAAACACATCTGTACAGGCTTACTGAAATTACAGTATATTTTAAGAATTTGTTCATTGATGATAATTATGGCATGAAAATAATGTATGTAATTATGTATTAATGATAATTAACATACTGATGTAACTAGACAATTTTTTTGATGTAAAATCAATGACTTTGTCAAAGAAAAAAAAATTATGTGTATTAAGTAGGCATAGTCGTTAAATCAGTTTCTCCCTGGTTAAATGAACCAATGTTTGTTGTTGTATGTTTTGAGTATGTTTCAAAAAGTGGTTGAAGAAGCACTAGGGCATAGGCCTACTGAAATTACAGTGTATTTCAAAAATTTGTTCAATGAGGATAATTATGGCATGAAAATAATGTATGTAATAATTCATAATAATAATAAGAATAATTAACACTTAAACTTGAGATGTTTCAATGTAAATTGTTAGTGTTTATGTATAATTGATTATTTTGACAAAGAAAGAATAATAATTACATCTAGGGCATAGGCTTACTGAAATTACAGGAATTTTTTTATTGATGATAATTATGGCATGAAAATAATGTATGTAATAATGTATAAATTATAATTAACAAATTGATATAACCAGACTCTTATAACTTGAGATGTATCAATATGTAAATTGTTGTTCATGTAAAATCGATGATTTTGGCAAAGAAAAAATAATGATTATGATTACGTAGGCCGACTCATTAAATCAGTTTGTGAAATGAGCCAGTTGTTTTTTTAATAAAAAAACAAAACTGACGTTTGTTAGTTTGGAATTTGTTCCAAAAAATGATGAAACATATCTCTAAAATTACTGTATGTAATGTATTTCAAGAATTTGTTCATTGATGATAATTATGGCATGAAAATAATGTATTAATAATAATTAACATACTCAGTCCTAATGTAAATAGACACTTAAATTTGATGTGTAAATATGTAAAATTGTTGATTATGTATTAAAAATCAATGATTTTGGCAAAAAAAAGGATATATGATGCGTATTAAGTAGGCCTAGTCGTTAAATAAGTTTCTTTCTGGTAAAATGAACAATTATTTTTACTACAAAAAAAACAAAAATAAAACACTGACATTTTGTTATGGGTTTGTTCCAAAAAGTGGTAATGAAACACATCTAGGGCATTTACTGAAATTAGTGTATTTCAAGAATTTGCCCAATGATGATAATTATGGCATGAAAATAATGTATGTAATAATGTGTTCATAATAATAATAATTCATACTGATGATGTAATTAGACACTTTAGAGGTGTCAATACTGTATGAAAATTGTTAATGTAAAATTGATGATTTTTTGCTAAGAATGAATAATAATTATTATGTGTATTAAGTAGGCCTAGTCGTTACATTTGTTTTCCTCTGGTTAAATTAACTAATTGTTTTTATTTAAAAAAAAACAAAAAAGAAAAAAGAAAAAAAAATTGCTGTTGTATGTTTAGAGTTTGTTTCAAAAAAAAAATGGTTGATAAAACATATCTAGGGCATAGGCTTACTGAAATCACAGTGTATTTCAAGGAATTGTTCAATGATGATAATTATGGCATGAAAATAATGTATATAATAATTTATTTATAATAATAATTCATACTGATGATGTACTTAGACACTTAAACTTGAGGTGTCAATATGTACATTATTGTTTATGCAGAATTGATGATTATGATCAGTGTATTAAGTAGGCCTAGTCGTTCAATTTGTTTGTCTCTGGTTAAATTAACCAATTGTTTTTATTTAAAAAAAAGAAAAAAAAAAACTGATGCTTTTATTGTTGAGTTTGTTCCAAAAAATGGTTGATAAAACACATACGGTAGGCTTAGGCTTACTTAAATCACAGTGCATTTCAATAATGATGATGATGATGATGATGATCATGATGATGATGCCAAAAAAACTAACAGCACACGGAATTCTACCTTATCTTCTTCACAGGCGAAGCTTATATTTAATTCCATTATATTTTGGGCTTAATGGCCCCTGCAAGACTGCATTTGATGAAGATAAGAACAGTTGTGTTGTTTTTGAAAATGAAAAAAAAAAAAAATAATAATATTAAATAATAATAATAATAATAATAGATTTGTGTAGACGTTTGATAGACAAATACGAATTCCCAACTCTTGTGTGGTTTTGATGAGGTTGCCAGTGTTCGTCAATGGTTGAGCAACCCATGGAGAGAAAAATAATAAATTTATTTTTACCTCTATGAGCAACCTACCGGGCGCCCAGAAGATTGATGTGGAAAGCTAGTAGTGAAAATGCGTTTTATCCATGTAAACATAGGCCCACATAAATATTGGTTGGAGATTTAATCGTGTAAAGAGATACACACTTTTCTTTTGCATCGAGTCTATTATATTGGGACAACAATGTTGGAATAGACTATCTGGTACAACTCCATTTTTTGAAAATCCGAAAAAATGCCATCTACAAAAGGAAAGCACATAATTAATGTAATCATAAATAATTTAAAAAAAAATAGAAATTACATGTTCTTGGAAACGTTTGACCGTGCATTTGATGTGCGGGGTTTTCTGAAACTCGGATAAAAAACAATACATACATGAGTATTTTCGATGGTTATAAAATGTACACGTGTTAATATTATAGGCAAAATAAAACTGGTGGAGATATTTGCTTATATATTGGAACATCTGAAAACTCTTGCGCGTACAAACCTGGTGTTAAATTGTAATTTTACGGATGCTCTTTTATTGAGATTTTAAATGAAAATGACAGAAGCGCTATTGTAGGTATTTTATATCGTCTCCCTAACTCGAATATAGAGACATTTAATAACAGTTTGGATGACCTTCTGAAAACATTATATCGTAAAAATAAAAAATACTATATGTTTTTTGAGATTTCATTGTAGATCCTTTAAATATGACACTGTAAATCGGCACAGGAATTTACTAATATAATTTATACTACATTCTTTATTCCTTTAATTACCCGGCCTACCAGAATTACATCGTCAACTGTCACCATTTTAGATAACATAATAACAAATGATTGTAATACATTCAGAGGAGTAATACCTATAGATCACTTTCCAGTATTTACGACTGCGCAGCAATCATATAAAAATCCAATCAATAAGCCCCTAGCATGGGTGTATGCAAGGGAGGTCGGGAAAAGGGTCGTACGGGTATTTTCACAATGGCAAATGAAAAAGCATTGATGAAGTATCAGCAGTGAGTCCAAAGACCTTGCTATTTGAGAACTGGGATTAGGTATGACATTGCCATTAGAGTCAAGGTTCTTGGGAGAAATTTTAAAAATGGAGGTGTAATGATTATCATTAACCACAATGATACAGAGAGTGATAGTAAAAGACACGGCTGATATATTTAATTAGTATTTATCTAGCATTGGATTTGAAATTGAGTAAAACATACCAAATTCTAATAACTTTGATTTTAGACATTATATGAAAGGTAATCATATGCATTCCTTCTTTTTTATTCCTACCAATGAAAATGAAATCATAAAAATTGTAAGTCATATGAAAAACTCAAATTCAGTTGGAATTTACTACAGACCTACTTCCATACTAACTTCTAAATTACTGGAAAATAGTTTATAATAGAGTAAATGATTATATTACCAAGTTTGACATATTAAATAAGGCCCAGTATGGTTTTAGGAAAAACATCTCAACGTTTATGGCCATATTGATTTAATTGAGCGAATAACTGACGGACTTGACGAACGTAAAAACACCCGGATAGAAATATTCATTGACTTCTCAAAAGCGTTTGACACCATCAACCATGATATTCTTCTTATAAATTAGAAACTATGGCATTAGAGGAATGGCACTTAATTAGTTCAGAAGTTATATTTGTGAAAGGAAACAGTTTACTTCTGTAGGCGCTCAAAGTCATCTATGTGGGATATTAAGTGTGGTACTTCTCAGCCCCCTACATTTTATAATGTACATCAATGATGTTTTCAATCCTTCAAATATTCTTTCATTCATCTTGTTTGCGAATAATAGGCCTACTACCATATTTGCATCTCACAGAAATCTGGATAAGCTGGTAGAATTATTAAATACTGAACTACACTGTATGTTACAGATCGGTTTAGATATATAATGAACTCATTCAACATAAGTACAAATTATATTATTTTTCGTAATCAAAGAAACCAAAACAACTTACGTAAAGTAAAAATATGTATAACAATAAAATAGTTGATAGAGTTAAATTACCAATTTTTTAGGAGTACGAATTGATGAGTTCATTACGTTTAAACAACATATTAATATTACCACATAGAAAATGTCCCAATATGTGGGCATACTTTATAAAGCCAGAAATGTTATACCAATGTATGCATTATTGAACATATATAAATCGCTTATTGAACTTATATTGAGTTACTGTAATATTATATGGTGTAGTTTTCTTGAACGAATTATTTATATTACAGAAAAAGGCACTGCGTGCTATATCTTGCTCAAAGTACAATGTTTCGGTTACTTAATACTTTTACAAATATAAACTTTTCGATATTAATAAATATCAAATCGGATTTATTGTATAATGCATTAGACAGCTTTGATTAACGTTTTAACTATCGCAATACGAGATCTAAAGATGAATTACCGTACGACCAAAAAAAAAAAAAACGAAGGTTACAACGAAGGTTACAAGTTTTTCTATATCATACTAACTCTGGACCAGAAGTATGGAATAGTTTCAGTAACGAAATGAAAAATGTTAAATCTAAAAAAAAAAAATCAAATCAAATCATTGTTCAAACAAAATCTTCTCTCAGCCTAGGTCTATGTGTAATTTTATACAAATAATTTTAAAATATGATATAAATTGATTGTTTGATTTATAATTCTTATTTCTTATTTATCTTGTGTTTCTGTTTCCGTCGTCTCGTTCTTTGTTAACCATACTGTAAGTGGCGGATTTGTGTCCGCTGTTGTTTCGGTGAATAAATAAATAAAAATAAAATAAAAATTTTTATAAAATGGTGCAACAATTTGATTTGATTTTTATTTAGGCCCCTATTTATTTTTTCTCCTTTGGGTTAGTTTAGGTAGCGGGTGGGGATTGCTTGGGGATACCGCTTTTACAAGCTCATTTAAGTTTCTTTGGTGTTTCCTTTTCATTTTTCTTGTATTTTATATGCTTTATAAATGAATAAATTAGTTTGAATTTCAATTTGATTTTAATTAATTTTGAATTTGATTCAGTGAAAATTTGGAGATAAACATTAACATTAATGCCCATTTTTAGTGGCAATATTTTGGCCTATCAGAAGTTTGGATGCAATAAGCCTATCGGGTTTTATAGTTCGGTCGAACCCAGACCAGAAATTTAGTACATATCGGCACCAAAGAAGCCGAATCTTACGCACAAACTTTTTCCCCCTACGTGTGACTTGGGGCTGCTCCGTCAGGGCATCTACAGGATAAAGTTGCTGTCGGTGGTGTTTTTGTTAATCCCAGTGTATAACAGACCTATTGAAAAAAAGCATTAGGTCTATGTATGTAACCAGGGAACGCTTACTGTTCCCTCTTGTGTAAAAGTGTTCCCTGGTGTAAAAGTATTCTCTGGTGTAACTATTCACATGAATTATTCAAACGATTTGGCCCTACCCATCACTCAGTGTAATATTCTACAAATTTTATCCATGTGTCTTTACATAAATACATACATTTTACATTCCTATTTTTATGTCTCCCATGCTGCTTGTAAAGGAGAATCCGACAACAGTCAGTACTGAATGCTAATAGCCTATACTGTACGAAGAATCGAAGACCATCAAAAGGAGCTTTTCATATCATTAAATCGTCCGTGAATTATGCCATACATAATCCAAACGGGCCTCACTTATTTTTACTTTCCGGAAGTGTTGTAGCCATATGGTCCGAGAAAGAACTGAATATATTTTGGGACAATGTTTGAGATTCAATGGGTCAATTAACACAAACATCTATTGCGTGTATGGTGTTTATGTCGATTGACCTTGATATGAGCATGCGCAGTTAGAACCGTGAAATGGGTTATTGTCACAACATGCCAATTGATCAATTCAAGATATTTGCTCAGAGAATGTTCTGTAGATTACTAGTTAATTTAGAAATAATACATAACAAATTGCATTCAAAAAAAAAATGTTTAAATATTTTTAAAACTTTGTCGAGCTATCTGTAATCTCTCTCTGCGACGGGGTAATGGGGGTTTTAAACTGGGTGAAAAACTTTGAAGCAGGCTCCGGAGGAAAATTGAATAATTACCGGTAATGAAAACCTACGGCTCTGTCTATAACAAAAATACAGTACATACAACTAATTCCTCCATGGTAAAAGTTGTTCCATTGTATGTGTTTTTCTTCCAAAATTAGGATCCTTGGAATATTACTACAGTACAACACCTACTAAGGGGACACCGTCGGGTACAGAAAAAGTGTCCCTTTAATAGGGGTTTCCCCTGAATAGGGGTTTTTCGTCATGTTTTCATACAATTATAGTTTATTGACATAAGAATCAGTTCTAACAATAGAATTAGAACTAATTTATAGCACTAAATTAAGGGTACATGTTGTGGTATGGATTAGAATCCTCACAACATTTAACAAAAAAGAAGGAAAAAGAAATCCCCGTAGGTATGGTTCAAAATTGTCAAGATTGATTTATACGAAGTAACACACGGCATATACCCCTGGTTCTTAATTAATTGGTTTAAAGGGCC